TCTCCATCTCATAAGCCATCTGCTACACACGCCTCAGAAACAATCATCTAGGCTCCGAGCGGAGGCGTTGGCCAGGTCAGGAGTTCAAACTCAACCTTGGACGAGCAAACCGTCTTCGACGAAAATAGAAATAAAAAAACTTGACACAAAAATATAATACAAACACAAAAAAAAATTAGCTGGCAGGGCGCATTGGCCTGTAGCCAGCTACCGGAGGCTGGAGTAGATCGCGACCCCGGAATTGAGGGTTGCTATACCAGCGGACCCCACGCACTCCACTAAGGGCCCGGGGGGCAACAAAAGTGACCTGTCTCAAAAAAAAAAAAAAAAACATAGATTCAAAAAAAAAGAAACAAAAATGGATTTAAGCATAGCAATTCCACAACTTACCCGAGAGACTTTTTAGAACCTAACCTATTATTTAGCTCGAAATTCCGTCAGGCGCAGAATACGAAAGGTGAACTTGGTATATTGACATCAACTCATCACTCATCAGCGGGATACCAAAATAAGAATTACTAGCAAAAACAAACGGCAAATCTTAACAAGGGAATTTTGTAAAAAACAAGGGACCTGGTACTTGTAGTTCAGTTTAACTAATAAAACAGTGAAGAAATCCTTGTTTGTGTGATATTAACATATGAAGGATAGAGTTAACAAGTAGAGGCTGGAAAGTGAATTTTCACTCAAATAGTACAAATTCTGCCGGCGGGGTGCCTACGCATTGTAATCCAGCTCCTTGAGACCGGAGCGGCGGTGCTGGAGGCAGGAGTTCCTGACGAATAACCACAGTGCCCTTGTAAAGAGCAAGACGCGACAGCTTTCTGTGTATAATAAGACATGATAGCCGGGCCGCGGTGGCTCACGCCTGTAATCCTAGCCCTCTGGGAGGCCGAGGCGGGTGGATTGCTTCGAGGCTAGGAGTTCAAAACCAGCCTGAGCAAGACCAGACCAGCCGTCTCTACTATAAATAGAAAGGAATTAGGCAACTAATATATATAGAAAAATAGCCGGGCATGGCGCATGTCTGTAGTCCTAGCTACTCAGGAAGGCTGAGGCAGGAGGTCCGTTTGAGCCCAGGAGATTGAGGTTGCTGTGAGCGAGGCTGACGCCATGGCACCACATCTAGCCCCTGGCAACAAAGTGAGATTCTGTCAAAAAAAAAAAAAAAAGAGATGATACTAGCTCACAGCCTGGGCTGTTTTTTGGTTTTTAATTAATAGGAAAAGTAGCGTGGCGCGGTGGCTCACGCCTGTAATCCTAGCACTCTGGGAGGCCGAGGCAGGCAAATTGCTCCAGGTCAGGAGGTCAAAACCAGCCTGAGCAAGCGAGACCCGTCTCTACTATAAATAGAAAGAAATTAATTGCCAACTAATATATATAGAAAAAATTAGCCGGGCATGGTAGCGCATGCCTGTAGTCCCAGCTACTTGGGAGGCTGAGGCAGGAGGATTGCTTGAGCCAGGAGTTTGAGGTTGCTGTGAGCTAGGCTGATGCCACGGCACACTCTAGCCTGGGCAACAAAGCAAGACTCTGTTCAA